TCTCCCCCCCGCCCCCCCCTCTTCCCTCTCCAAGGCTTAAATTGTCTCAGGAGCAACTTATCCAAGGAAATTCTTGTCTCATGCTGGACTCGAAACAGAAAGTCTAGTCAGGGACATCTGACATGCAGTGATGTTGTGAGTAAATACCAGCATCCATGAGGTCATTTCCTCGGGTTAGCAATGAGCTCACCTCTGGAACGGCTTCCGCCGTTACCCAAAGTTCACAAGTCAGACAGACAATCCTGAAGGTCCCAGTTTTCACCCTGCCCATTAAAAAACAGCATCTGAGCTGCTGCTCCAAGCCGCACCAGCCCGCGCTCAGCTCCAGCACAGGAGCTCTGCCAGGGGATGAGCGATGGTAAAGAAGAGGAGGTATGCTGGTTGCAAGCGTGGCCAGACCGTACAGAAAAGGGTTTGCTTTCCCCAGTGGCAGGAGAGCAGTGTCCTGACAAGCCTTTGCTTTGGGACTCACCAGGCAAGGGGCGGCCGCTGGACCAGGACCCGGTTGGGCAGAGCCGGATGAGAGTGCTCCAGCTACATCCCTCCAAAAAACAGCACCTCCCAAACGTGGCAGTGCACATCTGAACGGCAGAGGGATGGGCCGCGGCCACGCTGCATGGCCGCACCAGCTCGCGGGCAACAACCACTTCTGCTAAGCACCTTTCTCTGCTTATAGAGTGACCAGATTTATCCATAAGGGTTTATGGGAAAATATACAGGCGCTGTGAAAACAGGCTTTGCAGCAATTGCATTTACACACTTAGCAGAAACCTCACAAGCAGTCAGACCTGTACAGCACACAGACACTTCCCTGGGAGCCGTATCCCTTGCAGCTCGAGCAGAGCCACTGCAAGGAGCTTTTCAACAGCCTGCGTAAGGGGGAGGCAAAGGGCAGCAAGTCCACACTAATGCAAGGGATTTGCAGCTCTGCTCAAAATCACCACGGCTGAGAGAAAGCAAACGGAGGAGCAGCCTGCAGCCACCACACTGCAAAGGAATAAAGCCGAGCCATAAATCCGGGATATTACCAGTCATAAAAGATAAAATACTCCAGCACACATGTGCTCTTAATTTAATTCTTGCACTGTAGGTTTGCCAGAGCCCTGCAGCAGGCACCAACTCAAGCTCTATCTCACAGCAGTACAGTCACCAGCATCATCCCATGCCCTTTAAGAGGACAAGTATCTCCAGGTGCTTTTCAGGCATTAATGAATTAGACCCAGGTCAGCTGTGAGCCCAGGACAGCCCAAGAGCATGAACACCACACCAAGTAACCAGTCTGTTGTCCACAGCCGGGACAACAGCGCTGCAACTTCCAGGCCTGGCCAGCCCCACAGGGAGTTGGCTTCAAACAGCAATGCATGAAAGCAATCACGTCTATCTCTATTTCTCGATCTGAGCTGATGCCGTACCCCCTCGCTCCATCCCTATGTCCCCCAGACCAGGCAGTGGCAAGACAAGCGCCCACTGCAGCCCCACCAACGTGCCACCCCGAGCCCCAGGGAAGGGATGCGTTTCCCGTGCTCACCCAGCCCTGGCCGCTTTGCAGAGGCTGCCAAGTGGGAAGATAATTAGTGTTGCTGCTTGGATTCATTTGCAGGCCCAGGGCTTTCACAGATAATCTGGGTCATCCACTCACCCTTCAGAAAAGTCCTTGTTTAGCAGGGAGGGTAAAATGCATCTCTGGGGTAACCCGTCTGGCACCAGCTCAGCCACATGAGGCATCTCTGTTGCCCACCAAGCTCAACACGCTGGCAAACTGCTGCTTTGGGCCATTTCTGCATGAAATAACACTGTTTCTGGATTCAGCTTCATGCATCGCAACACTTGGAGCCTCGCTGGAGCCATCAGTCGGGCAACAGCCCTCCTCTCCGGTGCTTTGAGAGTATCCTGTAACCTGACACATGAGCGCTAAGGCCAATGCACTTTCAATGCTAAAACCCATTGCTTGTCTTGTGTTTTAATAGCTTGGCTTGCATTGCCTGGCATTGCCCATCGCATCAAGTCACCCTGGGAATCCAAGCCAAATATCCAGCAAGGATATTGAGGACCCAGATGGAGGACCCAAAGCACGCTTCCCGTGACATCGGCTGAAGTCTCATCGCAGTTAATACCGGGAAAGCCCAGCAAATGCAGCTCACATCTCCCCCGTGCCCACAAAGCAACCCCGCTTCGTCCAGAAGGGCAGTCCGGAGCTGCTGCCGGCTCCCGCGTGTCACCGGGTGCTGCAGCCTCCTCCAGCGCTCACGGCTCCCACCGCCCCGGCACCGGCAGGAACGCACCAACCCAGCCAGCGCTGTCAGAGCCCTAAGTGGGTATTTTTCTTCAGTTGGAACAAATTAGGAAATTGAATGTTTTCCCTGTGACTAATATAGAATTGAACAATTTCGCCCTTGTTTTATATGGGTCTTAGTTGCTCTCCTTGTCTTTCCCTTTCTTGCCCTCTTTTATCCTCCCTCATTTTTTACTCCCTTCTGTCAGTTCTCAGTTTTGCCCCGGGATTGTCCTGCTGGATGGGCAGGACCCGCTCATGTACAGCTGAGGCAAACTCTGCCACATATACTGCAGTGGTACGTCGGGCTGCAGCACAACGCAGCTATGCAACGGGAAAAGCAAGCCTCTCCAAGCTAAAAAAATAAAAAATATCTTTTCTCTCCCAGCAAAAATCATATATGTCCTATTTGGCCAGGTAACCCCCAAATCAGCCAACACTTTCCCTGCTGCTCTCAGAGGTAGGGGACGAAGGTGACAGATTTGAGGCAATTACCGAGGAGGTTTCACGGGTCAGTAGCAGTCCATCAGAGTTGCTGGATCTGCCAAACTCTGCAGTTTTGGTGACTGCTGGAAGAGCATGTCTTGGCCCACAGCCAGCCTGTGGCCATCACGGGCTGGACCGCTGGTTGTTGGGCCTGCACATCACATCGATCCAAACATCAAATGCCCTCCCTTTCCCATGCTTCCAAAATTGAAGGCCCCAAGATATTATGGCCCCAAGACCACCTTTAAGGCCAGAAATCTTGGAATCTCCCCGCTGGTTTTCTTCCTGAGGGCCCCTGGGCTGGGGTGTTGCCCACTGCCATCCCCAGCTGGTGCCCAATCGGACTCATTGCAGAAAAGTGATTACTACATATGTCACAAAGTTTTCGGCTATTTCTCCTCCTCTCTGCAAAAGGTAACATGTTATTAAAACTAACAGATGCTGGAGGTATTGGGGAGAAATAAAACTCCCGGGCCTACTGGTTAAAATCCTGCTCTGCTGACCTTGGAGAGAGCTTTCCCTTTCACTTGCTGCAGCCAGGACCATACTTCCTTCAGGAAAGGCCACAGTCATCCACAAGCTTTGTGCAGGCCCAGTTCTGATTTTTTCCAACATTAAAAGCTGTATTTACAACTTCTTTGGTGCCCCAAGGAGTTGACATGGGATGGAAACCAGCTGCAATCCTTGCCACCTCCTCCTTCAGCATTTCTGGAGAGGACACACGGTTCTTCTTTATTTTTGTCAAGGATCACCATCTGCAAATCTATTTGAGAAGGGCACTATGAATTATCCAGATGTTGCCTTTTCAACAGCTTGTGCTTACCACCGGCTTGACCACACACTCCTTCCCAAACACAGCTCTGAACTGCATCCAGACTCAAGGGCTGTTTTCTTCCGTTTTGGTTAGGGAGAGGTAAGATGTTGAAAGCTGGAAGTCTAACGGAAACATCACCAGCAGGAACCAAGAACGTCATAAGCAAGCTACCAGGAAAGGCTCCCTGGTGGCTGCTTCACCAGCACGTTGTTCAGATCCTCTTATCTCTGAACAGCCTTCAGGACTCAAAAACACTGGGAATAGAGGCCCTGGGGTGAGTGTGTGGAGCATTTTTCAAGAACAACTGCTTTTAGGAAAGGAGCCCAGCTTGGGTGACTCTGTGAGAAGAGCTAGAGCTAACACTGAGTGCAGTGGGTTGGAGGAGCAGCACAAGGGTCTCCCCTTGCAGTATTTTGGGTCCCCCTACCTGTTTTTTACCCTTGTGTCGGAAGCTGGCTCCAGCACAGGGCTGGCCAAGCTCCCAGACAGCAGTATTCCCGGGCGCACACTCATCATCCTGGTCCGGCCATGGGGATGAGTTTCTGTCCAGGTATTTCCACCTTGTCAGGTCTGGTCTGTCAGGGAGGAAGGTCTGGAAGGAGGCACTCATTACCCTGACGTGAGCGTGATGCCAAGTTTCTCTCCTGACCTGCTTATCTTCAAAGCTGCCTTTGCAAGCTGGTCCTGATTTTTTAATCTAGTCCAGAGCGTCTTCCGATACAAGCTGTTAACATCCAGGCGCTGTCGGCAGCTTCCTTCAGTAGCTGTTTCACCACTGTGGTAGCAAACACAAACACTGATCCAGACAGTAATCCACGCAGGGCACTCGAAGCCACTGTCCATGTCCGCAGGTCCTCTTCTGCCAGGGAGGCGCTCCGAGAGGAAGGAAACTTTTTTAAGATGAGCAGAGCTGGGTTTAAAGAAATCTAGCAAAGCTTACTGCAAACCCACACGGACACTACCGGGAAAGGCGATACAGCTATAACCACGCCGGAGGGAAATCTTGCAGGGTGAGGGTGAGGGTTGGGGTTGGGGGTAGCATTGGGGTTAGCGTTAGGTTATGGCTGGTGTTGGGGTTGGGGTTAGTGTTGGGATTAGGGTTGGGGTTAGGGTTAGGGTTAGGGCTAAGTTATCTTAGCAGAGTTGGACTATTTTGAGCACATGAAGACACTCGCGACCTTGCTGAGGCTGGGGGACGTTTTATGGCTCTGGTCGCCCCGATAACCGATCGAGGAGGGAACGACACTGTCGTGCGGGCTCTCTGCGGGCTCCAGCAAGCATTGAGCAGCTTCGCCCCTCGAAGGCAACGGACTGCCCCGACTGCGCCAGCCCAGGCTCGGCTCCGCGTCCTTTTGGCTATGAACATGAAACAACCTTTTGTGTGATCCAGCGAAAGAGCGTGCAACCTCCTGCCGTTTCCTACACCGGTCCCCCAAGCTGAACCTTGTTTTCCCTCACGCTTTGGGGAACGATGCCTTCATTTCTGAAGCTGCGCCATAAACACAGCGCAAAATCTTGAGATTTCAGTGGCACCGATGAAAAATTACATATAATGAGATCAACTAACAAAAAAAAAACCTCCCCTGATTTTATTACATGGTGGCTTGGTCGCCATGAAAAGCGTTACCTTTTTTTATGCTATTTGGGGGCGGAAGGGAAGAACAATCACAAAATAACCTGAGCTGATCCAAGGCCATGGGTATGACCAACGACACAAATATAACCTTTCACGCCCCAGCAGCCCCAGCACACTTTGCACCCCGGCACAGCCCCAGCACAGGCTTCTCCCTTTACTTCTGTGCAGCTCTAACGCCAAGACATCCCAGCCGGGGATTTCGGCTGGCTCCAAACCCTCAAAGGGGCACAGAAGTTGCCAGATGGGATCACACTGGTAGTCCGTCCTGTTTATCATCAACTTGCCGACGCTGGCCAACGCTGCTCTGGGGAAAGGCCCAAGAAACCTTGGGGAGGTGGCTACAAACCTCGCCGAAATGGCCCGTTTTCTCCCAGATCCCGGCAGCCAGTGGCACGTCTGCACGCTAAAAAGGGAGCTCGGAGCCTAAACCCGAGTTTCGTTGCTGACTCTGGAGGCTCTGGGTGGGCGTATGCAGCCGGGGCCTTTTCCGCGTGCCGTCGGTGCGAGTCAGCCTCGAAGCCGTGCAGCGCGGAAAGGAGACGAACGGCAGCGCTTCAAGAGACCACCCCAGGGCGCCCGCGGCGAAGCGGATCTCGCGGCCCCTGCGAGCCTTTGCCAGCCTTCAGGAAAAGCTGGCCAAAGCTCCGAGAGCACAGATCGGCCACAAATCAGCCCAATCTATACCAAAAAACCGAGCAGGCTGAGGCACAAACGAGATAGCCCTCCTGCCACGGGCCCAGCGTACGTGCGGAGCCCTCTTCCCAGGGCGGCTGTGAGCCGTGCGTCGGCTGACGCTCACCAAGGAGTTAACGCTCCAAGGGCTCGCGCTGCTCGGGGAGGACTTGAAAATAATGGCTTTTCCCCATCTCGCAGCGAGCGTCTAGATGAGCCAGAATACTTATCTTCATTTCCCCAGCTCAGCAACGTAATTAAAAAGGCTTAAGCTCTGTCTGGAGCTAGCTCCTTGGGGTTCGCTATCGAGACGTTGCTGGCGCCGCTGTTAGCCTCTCTAGCGTGACCTGCAGCAACGCGTGCGGCGGGGAAGGGCTGAAGGGGACGCCCGGGGACAGCACATTGCACGGGGGCCGGAGCAAAACGCGGCTCCTCTGGAGCAGAGAACGGAGCAAAGAGCCAGTGGGAAGAGCCCCGGAGAGCGGTGGCCCTTTGCGACCCAGGCTGCAGGGCTGGATGGTCCCGACTGCCCCCCGGGGCTGCGCTCAGCCTCTCCCGGGGAGCGCAGGGCACAGCACTCTCGAGGAAAGAAAGCAGCCCAAGAAAATGCACACGGCCCCCCCCCCCCAGCCCTAATTTTAGGTGTTGTCGGAGCAAGAAAGGACAAACAGGCCGAAAGCCGGCTGAGCGGC